TCAAAACAAGTTGCAGTTGAATTACGAGACAAAAGAACACTGTACCAGTAACAGCATATAATGCACATAGGCCATAAAAATCCAGAGATCGATCCTGCATTAACAGAAGTCTACTTCAGAATACAATCATCAGCCATCTGGCAACAATCACATAAAATAACTTTGAAAGAACTAAGCACAATATTTCATGGGAAGACTGGAAACAGGTTCAAGTCTTCCCACCAACAGCTTACGAAACATATGGATAAAAATAGGAGGACGATGAGTTAAGTCGACAGTAACAAACCAGGTGATGTATTGGAACAGCAGTCAGTGTCCCAAATCGGCCATTAATGCGGCCAACAATTTCATGAACCTGACTTGTAAGTTTCTGATCTGTACAGATGTATAAATGTAATTTATTATTACTTCAAATGAAGACTTGCAACAAGAATAGGCTCTGTTTTCTTTTGGTTGTAAGGAATCAGGAAAACTAAGAAGCTTACATTCAGGAACGTCGGTTCTTGTTGGCACAGCAATTTGCAGCAGAACAACTTTATCACGCCATAAAGGGTTCTCCTCAAGAAACTTCTCGAATGCAAGTATCTTCTGTGGTATCCCCTTAATCATATCAAGACGATCAACCCCTAACATCACCTATTAAAAAGTGGGAAGCTTACATTCAGGAATGAAGAAACTAAGCCAGTCACTTCGATCAGTAGGGTGCTTTTACTCAAACAAGTGAAGCAACATAGGGAGGTCAAAATCAGATTATACCTTACGACCACGAAACCTTTCCGTCAGTTCTTTTATGTGCTCCTGCACCTGAGGGAGCTTAAGTGCTGATATAAACCTTTCTGAATCTATCCCTATGGGAAACTGAACATACAAAGAAGATAAACAAATTGTCAGTATGCTAACAAGGATTTAAAGACAACCGAGAGAAGATAAGTACAATCAAGCAAACATACAGCTGCCACCCGAGTTAGCTTGCCTTGGTCCTCAACTCCTTCAGGTGTGCCTTCAAGTCCAAGAATACGGGTGCAAGCACTAACGAAATGCCTTGCATAGTCATATGTATGAAATCTGAAAAAAGAAGTTGAAATTGGTATTGCATGTGTGGACAAGATGTAATGGTACAAGGACAAGATATAAAAACGATACTGCCTGGTTAAAAGCATCAGCAATTTAGGAAGTTACGTGAGAGTACTACTGTAAATGCCACAAGACTTGCGCAGTAAGGGCTTACCCTACTAAGTCTGCAGCCAAAACTGAACGTAGTAGCTCTGATCTAGAGGGCAGTGTCCTGTGGATTTCGGAGGATGGAAAAGGTGTGTGGAGAAACCATCCAACTTTCATGTTCCTGTTGTATTCCTTGAGGCATTTTGGAAGGAACATTAAATGGTAATCATGGCACCAAACAACATCGCCATCCTCATAGTGCTTATTCACTACATCAGCAAACATCTGATTGGCCTTCTTATACGTGGCAAACTGTGACTGGAAGCTCCTTGTTGTGGCAAGGCGATCTTCTTGTGGAAGGCCGAGATAGTGAAAAAGAGGCCACAGTATATTGTTGCAGTAACCATTGTAATACTGATGAACAGTCTCTTCATCAAGGAATACAGGTATGCACCTCTAAGACAATCAAAAGAAAGACAATTTAGAAGTGGTAGAAAAGCTCAATCAATAATCACAGAAAGGAAAACCAACGGAAGTTTAATCAGACATAATGCTTACTTTTTCGGCCAAAGCTTTTGTAAGTGCCTTCTGGCCTACCTCATCAGGCACATTAACCCCAGCCCAGCCTATCCATCTTGCCTCAAATTCCTTCACACCTTCATAACATAATCCAAAATGCATCACATTCTAGACCTTTTCCCATTTGGAGGCTATATTCTAAAAGAAAATTGAGAGGAATCAGTAATTATTCATAAAGAGTAGAAACTTTTTCTGACAGCATACCGAGAAGAGCAGAAACAAGACCTCCTGCACTAATTTCCAAAGACCAAGCATCTTCACCTCTTCTCACAGCAGAAACTGGCAGCCGATTAGCTACCACCAGCAACCTCTGCCTTAAAGGCCTGGCATCGGCAGCAGCAGCTTTTTCCACGTACTGTTCAATATAGGAACTCTGCTGAGGGCCACTACTCTCTCTGAAGCGCAACTCTAGTGCTTCACTTGATTCAACACCTCTATGACTATGATTACCATTCGCCTCAGCCTTAATGCTTCTCCTAAGCTCCCTCAGCTCCCTCTCTCTAAGCTGCCGCTCCACACGACCTGGGTACGGGGTTGAGTTACCGTGGTACTGGTTTGCAGGCATACGTTCAAGCCTTGAGAACCAGACCCTTTCTTTTCAGAAATTCACCAACTTTTTACCAGCACCAAGATGATTCTCAAAGCAATTGTATAACCTACATTCACAAATTTTTACATTAACAACATTTCAGTTAACAGTAAGTCAGATAACAAAACTGCCATCCACCAGAAGCTATAAGCCACACAATTATGTTTTAATTGTCACCATCAAAAGGACCAAGAAAACACAAATAAACAAAAAAGGGGAATGGGATCCACAAGAATTGCATGAGACAAACACTTAAGTCTCTCTAAATTAAGGAGCTCGAGACAAATATATGAAGAAGTAAAACTATTTTCAACCATAATTCTCTTTGACTACAGTTCAAAGTCCGAAGCTTTGAATTCAACCCACATAAGAGACATACACACTAACAACTCACCAAATTTAGCGAAGACCCTTTTCATGTAATGAAAACCCATGTCGAATTGAAGCAAACGAAGAACCAACCACTACAGAAAGAACATCACAAAGAACTCTATGCATGGAGGGGGCAACAAAAATTTACACAGCAGAAGAAACCCATAAGAAGAAAGGAAAGACCTTCAATTAGCAGACTGAAGAATCGCGTAGTGAGACAGAGTAGAGTGTGGGTGGAGATGGAGCTTAAAGAGTAAAGCTGGAGGAGAAAGGATCAGTGGGCAGAGAGAGTTTTTGAGAGAGATGATAAAAGAAAGGTAAAGGAAAAGCAGGAAAAAGGAGCAGCAAATTCCTCGTGTGAGGATCACAGGGTAAACTGTAAAGAAGAAAAGAGGCGTCCCCCCGCCCTTCTCTTTGCTTTGCTCCCTACTTCTTCTCCCTCCTCCACTCGGGGCTGACACCCAATCCTCCTTGTCTGTAGATTCTTCCATATTTCCTCTCGTTGCATTCGCTTTTTCTTTCTCTTCCCCCCTGTATTAACTCCACTTGCCTTAATGGCTTTGTTTTGTTTTGGTTATTTTGTTAATCGCAGTATATTCGATGTTAAGAATTTGTTGACACGCCTTGCCCTGTCAGTGGAGCTTTTCAAAATTGGTCTTTAGTCTTTACACTCCAAAGGAAAGGAGTAAGAGACTAATGGGTCTTGACTCTTGACTCTTGCGAACTTTGGAGTATTGAAGAATTTGTTTGAAACTTCCCTGAAAAGCTTTGATTAGACTAATCCATATGACAAAAATTACTAACATATGTGATGAGATTCTATATTTCATGCATTGTGAGGTGATCATCAATCAAAAAATCCCAGCTTTGATGATGACACGATTAGAGGAAAAGGGTCAGTCTCTACCTTCATGTTCATTTATTGACGCATAAGATCGATTAATAACACTTTTGCATTCATGACATTGGTTTGACTTTTGAGTTTGACCCGGATTATCAACAACCATGTTTTGAATCCTTATCGCAATTATATATATAAAAAATAGATCATCAATGACATGCAATCGAGTTCGATTATTGAAAGTCATTAATGCATGAGTCTACTATACCCAAACATTTGCTTTAGAATTTCTCATCTCATTTTCAAATGGCAAATGTTTGTTGAATGACATTTCATATCAATGAATGGTGGTAAAAAAAAAAGTTGATTTTTTTCGATTTCGTATATGTAAAATTGTGGAAGCCAACCTAAAATTTTGATACCGTGAACCTAACAAATACTACTTTGATGTCACGTTATTCTGACTTTATCGAATTATCGGATAGTTTTCTTTCATACGGAGTTAGGACACCCTGGTACATTTGCATATCCAGTCTCATGAGCTAATGGTATCTGAAAGACATGTATACATGCTAATTTGATCTCCAAGTTAACGTTATTCGTTCAACTTGGTACTATTCGACTAGACGAGTGGGTTCAAAATCAGCCTAGACGCATGGGCCCTAAGGAGATACTAGTAAATCTCTTCTGCACTGCATTGCATTCCGCACCTCAAAGTTGCATACTTTATCTGCAGAAGACACAGCTGCAAAAGTGAGATATTCGGTGGGAATCCAGTCCAGTAGTCCCATCCCCTTGAGAGCCTTTATTTCTCAAGATTGCATATCCCTACTTTAGCGACTAGAATGCTTAGCCTTGGCTACAATTGGTATACTCTAGAGATTGCTCAGATCATGCGGGTGGGTGTACCAAATCGATTGATTGTTGTTTTGTAAGAGATGAGAAAATTATGAGATTGTTCAGACAACTTAATTAAACGAATATGTGTGCATTAGATTTAGAATGCTAGTATGGCAACTTAAGAGGGGACAGAGGATTGCCATCTTTCCTCTATATATGCCAGCTGCAGCAGAACAAGCGGCATAAAATCAACAACTATCATATGTGAATCTCGTGTGTTTTTTTAACTGTCAAGACATAATTTGACGATTAGAAAAGCATCGACCACCATCTAAAGCTTGCTCTGTGTGTGTGCAAGAGAAGAGGGAAGAGGATGCTCGACCTGCCAACAAGGCTTGCCACATCATCAAACATTCTTGTATGTAGGAACAAGAACTCATCACTCGTTGATATTATCATAAGACCAAGCTGAGGAAAGGACAAAACACCTTTGCCAAAAGTTCCTTTTGGAGATCAAAATTACAATACAAAACCGCCCAATTGATCTCTTTTACGTCAATCGAGTCTGTGATAGTGCTAAGAAATCGAGTCCATAGCGAAGCGGGAATAGATGCAAAAGCCAACTCAAGCGAAAAAGAAAACAAAACAGGACACCTTTTCCAAAGGTTCCTTTTTTAGATCAAAAGTATAAAATAAAAGACCCTCTCCCAATGCTCAATGGATCTCTTTCGCGTCAAATGTACAAGAACAGGAGCAAAGCGAGAAAAGAAGAATAGATGCAAAAGGCAATTCAAGTGACCTAAAAAGGTTCTTTATTTACATGCCTAAAGCGAGGGGAACAGCTTTAAAACTAACAATACTTTCAAGCATCTGATACAGAAGAAGAAACGACTCATCTAGGAAGCTTTGGTTTATTGAATATGGACATGAATACACATATTTGAAAAGGATGTAGGATGCCTAGAAGACCAATCAGATGTTGTCAGCTCACAGCAATTTCTTTACCATACACAAGAGGAAGAGAGCGCAGGAGGAAGCATACTGCCGACTGATTAGCTTGATTCAATGCAGACAGCGAGGGAAGAGGACGACGCGTGATCTATCAAAACAAGAAAACAGTTATAGCTGCCAAAAGAACATCAAATTTTGATTGTAACAAACTGAAAATCCAGTATATACATGCAACACACCTTCTGGTTCAATATGCAACCAATCACGAGCACATATCAAAGCCTGCAGAGTGTCTGCACTTAGCGAGCTTCTGTAACCATCGAGCATCCTTCTTTCGGTGCTGAACACCATGTCGGGTGAGACATTTGACATTGGAGTGCCCAGAACATCCCTTGCCATCATAGACAAGATAGGGTATCTTGGTGTATGGGCCATCCACCAGTTCAAAATGTTGAAATCATGGTTACGAGGAATCACCGGTTCTTCTAAATATTTGTCCAGGTCGGATACAGAACTCTGGCTTTGAGACGTCTCATGCAGGTATTCGTCAAAGCCCTTTAATCTATCTCTGCTAATATTGGTGCAAGTGCCTGGCATGCTACTTCCAGGAAGAGTTGAGCCTTGGTCAACCAATGTTGAACAGATAGAGTATGCATTAAAAAGTTCCCTTATACCATCCGCGACCTCCTTGATTCGATCCAGGGCTGTGCTACCATAAATCTGAGAGTAATAGTACTCCACCAGTTTCATCTTGAACCGAGGGTCTAAGATTGCAGCAACTGCCAAAGCCAAACTGCATTTGCTCCAGTACCTATCAAACTTGGCTTTCATCTTAGAAGCAATGCAACTAAGATAGCCATCTGAATTTTTGCACCATTCAATTAGTTGGATGTGAACATCACATATCTCGGGGAAATACATGTTGGCTGTCAGAGGTTTGCTTCCAGAGAAAACATTGGTAATCTCCACAAACAGTTTCAAATAACCAGTAATAGAACTCGCCCATTCCCATTCAGTCTCCGTTAAAACTGTAGTGTAGCCTGGGTCATGTTGTTGCAAGAAGCAAAATGAAGTCTTGTATTCTAGGGCTGTCTCGAGCATAAAGTATGTCGAGTTCCACCGCGATGGGGCATCAAGAACTAAGTTTTTCTGACCATCCATACCAACTTGCTGAACAATCTCGTTGAACTTGAGCTGGATTTCTCTTGAACTTTTGACATATCTTACACTTTCTCGAATCTTCTGGTTCACCTCTCCTAGTGCTTCTATGGCGTCTTGAACCATCAAATTTACTACATGAGCAGCAGACCTGATATCGAATAGTCGGCCATTACTCAAAAGGGGCCTGGTTTCAGAAATCCGGTTCTTTATTCTCACAATAATATGATCATCTATGGAGCAATCATCAAATGTCATAGCAAACAACTTGCACTCAATACCCCACTCCAACAGGCACTTAATAATCACTTCAGAAAGCATATCTTCAGTCTGAGAGGTTTCTAAAGTCACAAAGTTTAGAACTTTCTTCTGCAGTTTCCAAATCTCATCAATGAACTGTGCTGTCAAACACAAGTATTGATTATTGTCCGGACAACTCCACTTTTCAACTGCAAGGTTTATTCTGCCATTCAATCTGCTTAACATTTCACGCACTCTCTGCTTCTCTTTCTCATAGATTTGCACGCAAGAGGATTCAACAGAAGCATTTGGTACAGCCTCAAACAAAGGCTGAAGATTCTTCAAAAAAACTCTGAATCCGGAATGGTCAATCATGGTCAACGGGTAACCATGTAATAGAATCATGCAGGTAAGATCAAGCTGACTACGCTGTTGACTGAACCTACTACTACTTCCCACGTTCAGAACTCCGTGTTTTCTTAGCTCCTGATCGAACTTTACTACTGGAGTGTTGATGTACGCATCCGGTCTTTGTACCACCGGATTGACATCTGTAACAGCAAACGAGGGTTCCTTTTTCCTTCTCTTTGCCTCAAATAGGTGCGTTACATCATAATTGGATCTCTTCAAACATCGCATTAAGTGATTTCTGAGATGCGTAGTTCCGCTATTACTCGATCCACTAAGTTTCTTGTTACAATGCACACAAACAGCATAGCATGTGTCAGCCTTCCTTACCCGTTCAAAGTGATTCCATACAACAGATGTCAATCTTTTAGATTTCTTGACAACAGAATCCCTTACTCCTTCCATTTGATAGAAATGATCTGCAGACGAGCACAGTATATCATTCCCAAAGGGGTTAGATCTTAGATATTGTACTAGTAATATATCTTAATGGTAATTGATCTTTACAAGTTCTTTTGTAACATAGTCAAAACATCTGGTTTAAAAAAACGAACGTTCACCCCAGATCAGAAAATACGCTATGGACTGGTAATAATGAGGTGAAGTAAGAAGGATTAACAGATAATTCACTCCCGTTGACATTTTATATAAACTTTGAGGCTTTTTAGTTGAACTTTTCCTTCAACTGGAAGGAGGAAAATGTTCAAGCATATCTTCTACCATAGATTAGAGCTAACAAAACCACCTTGAATCCACACTTATAATCTAAGCTAGGAACAGAAGCTAACCAACAGCAGCTTATCCGTCTACAAACAGACGTCACCAATTCCCTGAAACGTGCTATGCCAATGCATATGCTCCTCAAAGTAAAACCTAATCAGCCTCAAATTACCGAAACGAAGATATTCTACCTTCACCAATGAGCAAGGATAACTGAACACAGGAGTTCTAGATCTTCCAAAAACCAAACTTTTTTACGAATCAGCGACATAAGGTAACTTTAATCCCACAAATGAGTCTCTGAATGACCCTCAACAGGAGAATTTCTACACTCGGACCTTGTTTGCCCTCTAACCACAGCATAAGACAGTTCGGGTGAGGAACTATCAGCAATTCAGCATTTCATTAACGAATAACGATCCTCCAATTGATCAAAGCTACTCAATCAGAACAGCAACAACTCTTGCTTAATTACTTACTCCAAGCAGCAAAATGAAGGGAAGAAGACAATGAGAAAGGATTGTACCTCGATTCAGAGCTCACGAGAAGATCCACGACTTGGTTTCGGAAATGGTGCAGAATAGGAATCGCATTTCCCAGCCACCGTGTACTTCTCGTCGCTCAGCTTCTCGATTCCGATTCCGATTCCGATTTCCGACCTAGCCGAGCTTCTCTGCATTGACTATTTCCCTGCTCTCCGTCGATGTCGAAGGAAGCGAGACCCCCCGCGCTAAGCAGAAACGGCAGGAGCAAGCAGAGGAAAACGTCGGCCTCGCCAACTACACGACGCCGTTGAGATTTTGCTTTCCGAAAATTACCAGCTATCCGTTTTAGTGCCTTAACTTTTCTATTTTAAGGTTTTGATACCTGAATCTCTTTTTCTTTTCAATGTAAGACCTAAAAGATAATTATAATCGATTTTGGTATCATATCTAAAGTTTGCTTTTACGTGCCTTCTCAAGAGATTTCGCCAGTGCTAGCTTCCAAACAGAAGAGGACAGTTATAAATCCAACCATTCATATATGTTTTTCCTAATTAGTAGAGTTGTGAGTAGGAAGGGTATGAAGCAAATCATCACAATCCATTCTACAACATACACTAGTGAATAGAGTAACCTCATCGCATTCAACCAAGGAAGCCGTTTGGATCGATTACATGTTCCTTCCTAATACTGTGGTACACCAAAATTTTGCTGACCTTAGAGGGTTACATTAGACCGCGAAACAAAGTGTTAAGTATAACGTTCATTGTCAATTTTGTTATCCATCTTCTAAATTTATATAGGGGACAAATTAGCAAATCAGAGATAGTTGAATCAAACATCTCTTCACTGGAGCAGCGACCACGTATTGTCGAAACTACTTATTACTTATAATTTTCAACAATAATACGATTAGATCAATCTCTTATTCACAAATTATTTCTATTCCTTTTTGTCACCAAGAAATGTCAAGAAAGAAACAACAATAAAAAAAAATACCCCACCTCTACAAGAACCCAACCATCCTGGGCAAGAAAAATCAAACGATTGCAATTCTAACAAAAACAAAGAAAGGGTTTTACGTGCCACTCTATGGACCGCCCAAGTGACAACTATAAGGGTACTGGAAATAACCTCGAGGAGCAAGCAATAATGACATGGAAGTTATAGTTGACGGCAATGATTAACAATCAGTTTTTTCAGTTAATTGAAAGCAACAAATGGTACACAGAAATTGTGCATAATTGGACCAATAATTCTTCTTCACATTCACTAACATGCTGTCTCCGTGGAGCAGATGGTGTCACTCTCACTTATTGCCCTAATCAAATCATCAACCATGCACGTGAAATTATTCTCCCTCTCTTACACCTTCAAATACATCATGTGAGATTGTGATTTGTGAGCAACTTGGCCTCCTTTTAATAACTTTTATCTTCAAACTTTTCGTTTTCCCCTTCCATCTTAGAACGAAGATCGATATCACCTTTTCACTTCATTTTGTACTAATCTTACCATACTTTTACAACCATAAAACACCAAGAAAGCACTTGACAAAAAAGAGTAGGTTCAGATAGAGATCTCATCTCACTGTCCAGAAAGACAATAACGGTTTACTCTAACGAAATCGTCCAAACAGCCACGAATGCAGCCTGACTCATTGAATCTAAATTGTGATCCCAAACCTTTAACGAGACGCCCAACCCACAAGTTAAAGAAGGAGCGAAAGATATCGACTTGAGGCCTCATCACCAAAATCGAGCATGATATTCTCATAAGTTATAACCATTTTACATATACAATATTCATTCGGTATAATTAATCTCCATCGATGCAAATCATCAAAAGTTGCAATCTTCTCGATATAACATCACTGACGTAAATAATAATTGACGATTCTGATTCATTGAAGTACATCCAATGATAAGATCACTTGGAGTTATCTCTTTCTAGACCATGAATAAAACCGAATCCCAAGTTATACCCTATTTATATTGAATAGGTACCGATTCTCTAAACGCAAACCATAAATAATTTAATAAAAATAATAATAAACTATTATGATTTGCCGAAATACATTTCAACAAACATATGATATTATTCAGAAGTACGGTAATCATTACCATATATAAATTAAAAAGTATTAGAAAGGGTCAGCTACTAAGCTAGAGTAGTACCTGTCTAATTATTCCATCATGTGGGATCACACATATATAAAAAAGCCCCATTTAGCACCAAACACAACTCAATTCAATTTTGAGACAAAAAGAAACCATTCCATCACACAACACATGTCTCCACCACTCAACCTCCTCTTCCCCTGCCTCTGGATCCTCTGCCTCTTCCTCTTCAATCCCACCGCCGCCAGGACGACTCCGCCACCGCGGCGGCAAGATCAAATCAGGCAATACCTGGAGCCTCACAACAGAGAAAGATCCAAGCTTGGAATCCCTCCGCTGAAATGGAGCAAGAAGCTCGCCGACTTCGCTGCCTCCTGGGCGCACACGAGGCAGGGGGACTGCGAGCTCATCCACTCCGGCACCAATTACGGCGAGAACCTCTTCTGGGGGAGCGGCAAGCAGTGGAGCCACGGCGACGCGGTGGCAGCGTGGGCCGCCGAGAGATGCTACTACGATCACGCGGCGAACTCGTGTAGGAAGGGCCAGGATTGCTTGCACTATACCCAGATGGTCTGGAGGCAGAGCTCGCGAGTTGGGTGTGCTAGAGTTGTCTGTAAGAGTGGGGACACGTTTGTGGGCTGTAACTACGATCCTCCTGGCAATGTCGTTGGGGAGAAGCCCTTTTGATCCAATTTTGCTCGCAATTCTGGCCGGTTGTGTTTTGTATATATTATGTGACAATAAGTGAATTGCAGGATTCAATCCTTGAGCTTTCATTTTCTTCGATTACCCCCTCATTCAAATTTCTAGCTCTAGCCGACATACTGACCATCCAATTAGAACTTCTGAGAAACATTAATGGCGGGAATGGCAACAAGAGGGGTCTTTCGATAGGCTATAAAACCAGTAGCTTCAGTCATGTCCAACTCCTGCCCTTCAACACCACCAGGCAACTCCCAATCAAATTTCCCCACGAGATGAGCCAGCGTATGCTCCACAACGGCAAGGCCAAAGGATATTCCAGGACAACCTCGTCTTCCTGCACCAAAAGGCAGCAGCTTGAAATCCTGACCCCTAAAATCCACGTCGCTGTTCAGAAATCGCTCGGGCCAGAATTCTCCAGGCGATTCGGTCCAGTCTGCAGGGTCCCTTCCGATCTCCCATGCATCCATTAGGATCATGGTTCCGGCCGATACATCGTAACCTAATATGGTCGTGTCTTCGATGAACTGTCGTGGGAGTAGCAGAGGAAGTGGTGGGTGCAATCGAATTGTCTCTTTGATGACTAGTTTGAGGTACTTCAATTTCTCTAAATCGGCCTCCCCGATAATAATTTCTCCTTTCTCGTCACTCACTAGTTCTCGTCTCAACTCCTCTCGCAGCTTCTTCATCACCCTAGGGTGTTTCATCAGCTCCGACATTGTCCATTCCAAAAGTGTTGCAGATGTATCTGTTGCTGCCACGAACATGTCCTAATCATTTGGTCAACAATCAATTAGTGATGTAGTGGTGAGACGTTAAAAAAGACAATCAAAATTAGTAGACTATGTTGGTAATGAAGTACCAGGATCAAAGCTTTGATGGCATCTGTATCAAGTTGGGCGTCCTTTTGAAGCTGCAATAAGGTATCTATGAAGGGTAATGTAAATGTTTGGTCATCATAATTGTCTTCTGTTATCACACTGCTACAAGAAGAATTGGTGTTGCTACGTTTCTCCAAGTTACGAGCCTCACTCTCCAGGATAGCTGCATTAAGCAATTCATCAAACTGCTGGGCAACTCTATCGACCCGGGAATCGAAGCCGGTGAACCGGTTCACCCACCAGAGACAAGGGATGAAGTCGCCCACAGTAAAAGTGCCCAGCAAACCAGTGAATTCGGCCAACAGGTCCTTGAAATTGGTGCTAGCACCCACATCGTACTTCCTCCCTAGAGCCATCCTGCAAATCACGTCGTTGGACAGGAGGAATAGCAGCTCGCTCAAGTTCACTGCCTGCATTCAACTCTCAAAATCATAGCCCCATTCAACTCTCAAAATCATTTAAAATTATATTCAAACTTTGTAACTAGTTTTGAAAATAAAAGAGTTAGTAGAGCTTTAATTAGTCAGCCAGTCTAGTCAATTCAAATTCTCTAAGGATAGATTTTTAGCAACCTTTCCTTTAAATTTCCGACTCTCCCATTGAGATAAAAACTTAACAATTCATTTTCCAACAACTTAACTTGTTGTGATTAAGTGAGATGTTTGTTAACATGATATCAGTGTTTTCGATTGAAGTCATGGTTTCAAATCCTCATGATGACTCTCACTATAAACAATGGTTAAACACAAAAGATGATGATATGCTAACACGATAATTGTTTTTTCAACCGTAATTCTCTAAAATTCTCAGTAATGTAAAACGTTGAGCATGAGCACATACCCGGACTATTTGGACATTCTGCTTGATCCGATTGATCAGTAACCCGATTTCTTCCTCCCTCACGCTTCGGCCGGACTGAACTTTTCTGGTGCTGAGGAGGTGGAGGACGCACAGCCGCCGGAGCTGCCTCCAGTAATCGCCGTAGGCTGCGTTGGTGATGTCTTTGTTGACGCCGTAGAGAAGCCTGTTTGCGGTTTCGATTTGGGGCCGGTCGGAGGCGATGAGGTCGTTCGTCTTCAACACCTCTCGAGCCGCCACCGAGCTCGTCACCACCAGCACCGGCTTCCTCCCGAAGTGAAACAGCATCGGGTCGCCGTACAGCTTCGCCAGGCGGGCAAACGTGCGGTGTGGGTACTTGCCCACCTGGTGGAGGTTCCCGAGGATCGGCAGCTTCGGCGGGGATGGTGGCCGCCGCGGACGCCGGTGATTGTTTCCCTGCCGGCGACGGCTTTTGAGCACTACTGCAAACCCGGCAACGAGGAGGACGGCGGCCAGGAGAAGAAGTAGTACTGACGAAGATGATGACATCATTTTGAAGCTATGGCTAGCTGCAGCCGGATGTATAGAGGAGAAGGAGATGGAATTCAAGTATATTATATAGAGACTTAAGCTTAATAGATTTTAAGAACGTAAATGTCCTAAAAATATTGATAGAAAATAATATTTTTGCAGCTAAAAAAAATCATCTCTACATATTGACACCTAAATTTTTTGAAATTTATAAATAGATCCTATTTTATGAGATTTTGTGGTTTGCTATAAGAAATTTATGGTCTGCTTTATAAAAAATTTCATATGCTTTTCACGAACTTGTGGAATGATTTACTTCCTTCTCTTGTACAGTTACTCCTCGCGCAGGTACAACAGAGCTGCTCCTTTAGTAGCTCAAATGGCCCTTTCATCGATAGTTCGACGATTGTTCAACTGTCACGTTTGATTGTATGGCTATCTATTTATCTATTAACTTGCAATCCAACCTCCATTTTATTTGTTCATGAATAACACAATGCAATGGATGACAAAAAGCCATGTCCCTCCATCTATAACCCATTAGGTACCATTTCGTGAATGGGAAAGCAACGATTGGAGGCATTGTATGAAACAGTTAATGCAAACAACCCTGTTGGTAAGCCAATATTGCTTTCTGCTTCACAAAATAGTGCCCAATCACTATAAACACATGGTGGGGTGGATGGATGGTGCCAAAAATGGTTCTTCTATTCCCTCTGTAAACTTTTAAATTTGTCTAGGTGTTGTGACTTGTGAGCTCTTACAAACTTTGTCATTGACGCACCAAATCCGTCTCTTCACCTATCAAGCCCATCTATCACTAAACCCAATTATATGGATCCTTCTTTCACCACTCACCAAAATGGAGGGCCCAATTGAGCCCAAAATCCAAAACTCACTGCCCACCCAACTTCCAACACGCCAGTTCTCCAGGTCCAAGCCACCCTTTTGCCTTGCAGGAAGGAGCAGTTCAGTTCGTTAATTAACACGGGGCTCACACGTGTACAACGAATTCCTTCATCAACCACCAAAATGAAAATATCAACGCACAGATTAATTCCCCCCTCTGTATTCCCCAGCAAGATCCTCAGTCAAGAAGTCTCTTTTATTTATCCTCTACCAAACAGTTGCAGTGCAGCTCTTGTGGCTTCATCTGATCCTCTTCTTTTTTTATCTTTTATTTTATTCCTTTTCCTTTGCCACCAGGACGAAAAAGATCTCCTCAATTCCACCCCATTCCAGACAAGTTGCCAATTTTGAGCTTCCTTCCTTCTCCCACTTGCGTAAAATATCCACCAAGTTTCCAGCTTTAGATTCCCCATCTGCTCCAGAAGAATTTGCCCACTTCCCCTCGTTCCAGGATTTTACTCGCCACTGAGTTTTCTAGTGAGGGAGGGAGATGAAGATACAGTGCAACGTGTGCGAGGCGGCGGAGGCGAACGTGCTGTGCTGCGCTGACGAGGCAGCATTGTGTTGGGCCTGTGATGAGAAAGTGCACGCCGCCAACAAGCTGGCGAGCAAGCATCAAAGGATTCCGCTTACCAGCTCTTCCCCTCAATTGCCCAAATGCGATATTTGTCAGGTAACTACTACTGATCGTCTTGGTCTGTTACAATCGATTCTCTTTTCAATTTTTGTTTATGTGGGGCGGTTTTATGATTCTGGGAAAACCCACGTTGGTTTCCTCTGCTCTTTTCTTTCCTGGCTTGGGTTTCGTTTGAGTTGTGACTTGTGGTGGATGGATCGTCCATAGGTTAGGTGGCTAAAAGAGCACTTGCTGCTGCTGTTCTTTTCATAAGTTAGGTTGGGACAAATTAGTTTTCGGGCTAATGATATTAGAGTGGCCAACCCAAAAGACTGTACTCTAGTATACAATGAAGTGGTAAATGCTTTCGTTTAAGGGGACTGTGTGATGAAAACGTATGAGATCTATTCATGAATCTCTCCTAACAATTCGAGATATTGACACGATCTGATTCTCGAGAATTTTCTTGAACAACAGTTCTGAGTTTTTGTGGTGAACCAACCGGGGATCATCTAGTACTCCGTCAACCCAATGGTTTCATACCAGGATCTTAATTCATCTAACACTAGCTCTAACTTATGACCCAACAGCAAAATAACAGACCCTATTAATGAGTACCTCTTTTAGCATTTACGGAAAATCCCATGAGCCTGCATTCAAGAGAGGAAGACATGCCAAAATAGATTGAGCACAACTGTGATGGAAAAGGATGCTTGATCCTGCATGACACAACAAGCATTGGTCTGACATAATAATGAGACCTCGTCGACAAATGTTCACGCAAATCCATAAATCTCGGAGTCCACTCTACCTTTGAACACATCCTCTACCTCTCTTTTGTACATGGACAGATATCGCTGAGCTGAAGGTGATGCTTTCCATAATACTCCCCATTCGTCCTATCGATCACATTGACTTGGTTTTGTAAAGACAATGGGTCTAAGGCCCTCTGTGTCACCACCTCGTCCTTTTATGGGATAATGAAAATGAAGGTGCTATAAATGACCTTAGGATGTGTTCCTTAATTCAAATTGTTGTCATTTTAGTTTCATTGTCACAATGACTTTCTATGGTGGAACCTTCTTTATCCTGTTGATGTGATGAACTGATGATATGATATTCTGATGTTGCATTCACTGATTCGGAGAGTAAATGACAATGTCTTTGTTCGTTGCAGGAAATGGCAGGCTTTTTCTTCTGCCTAGAAGACAGAGCTTTGCTCTGCAGGAAATGTGATTTGGCCATTCACACAGCAAATGAATATGTGTCTGCTCATCAGAGATTTTTACTTACAGGGGTGAAGGTAGGTCTTGAGCCTACTCATCCTGGTGAATCTGCGTCGTCGGGCAAGTCCCCTTCTGCTGGAAAGCAATCGGCGATGAAATCTCAATCTGTTTCTGAAAGAGTCACACCAGCAATGCCTTTCGCTAGTTCCTCGAATGATACTCCATCTGTGAATGGTGGTGGATTGAGGAGCTCTGAGCCTTCTGCAAAAGTGCCTTTTAGTGAGAATTATCAGGCCGGAGGCATCCAACAGTGGCCACAACTAGATGAATTTATGGGTCTAACTGAGTTCAGCCAAAGTTACAGCTACATGGGTAACGGTTCATCAAAGGTATGCATTTCTCTTTTTCCATTGCCAAATCTTGACTTCATTGTATCTTCAGATATGTTTCTTTCCTGGACATAGTATGGTTTCTCTTTGCACAAATATTAGTTGTTTTAAAAGCTGGTCCTTACCCACTTGCGAACTGTGATGGACATGTAGTTGATTGGGAGAAAGAACTATGTTTACCATATCCCCTGAATGTTGCAAGCTAACAATGCTAATATTTAACCATAAGACATGTTGGGTCTATGCAAACTTCAACTCCAATGGGTTTTCATATGAGAGAGATTGTAAGGAAATAATATGAGATCCAATCTTGGAATGGAAGTCTCCTTGACACTTCTAGTGCTTTTACTTCAAGTCAACTCCATTTCTGGCTAAATTGGCTTCTTCGATCTCTAAATATTGGTCGAGTCAATAAAAGGTGATATACCCTTTGCAATTCGCTACTAGCAGCCTTGTGATTCGTGTCCCTCATGTGCTTCCTGTTATGGTGTTTGTATCAGGCTGATAGTGGGAGGCGTGGAGACTCCAACAGCTCCTCTGCAATGATGAGATCGGGTGACGATGAAGTGGACAACGACAACGAGTGTCTCGGTCGAGCTTCAGACAGCTATTGGGCAGTGCCAGAGATGCCATCACCCCCGACTGCATCGGGGCTCTGCTGGACAAAACAACCCTGGGATCATGGGGTGGTTTCTGTTCCAGATATAAGCTGCTCGGGTGCTCAAACCGACTATGACGGCGAGAAAGAACATTTAAGAGCCAGAAAGAGGCGGAGGCAACAACGTTGGAGTACTCCCTTTTGATGGCGATCTGCGCCCTGTGTAGTCTTGGATAGGGGTAGATTTGCACTGTTACGATTTCTGCTATAATCCTGCTTTTGATTGAGAAAAAGGTTGAAGCTTTCAAAATGGCATTGAGTTGAGGTATCGATTGAGAATAATGTATGATAGATGATGTGTTCTGTTATAGACAGCGTGCTGTGAAGAAGAGTTGTACGATAGGTGATGTGTTCTGCAATAGACAGCGTGCTGTGAAGAAGAGTTGTTAATTTTACAGATGTTATTAAGAAGTGTAATGGCGTGGAAGAAAGGACGTGCAGGAGAAAGCTCAGTTTCCAGCATTACATGGGTTTGGACAGTAACAACCATACTCATTGCTTCCCTCTTTGACCATCCTGTGCTGCTTTGAACATCGATAAATTCATTGCTAGCTTCCCTCACTTTTGTGCATTTCGGATACAGCTACATTATTGTAGTAGTTTGTTTAATGTTCGTCATTTTTTTTGGCAAATACCACTAGAAAACTTAAACTATTAACTTTGTGCCATTTGTGTCCTAAAATATCCGATATAACAATTGTGTCCTCAACTATTTCTCAGTTAGAGTTGACTGGCGTTGACCGTTAGTTTTTAACAGAAAATCCAGTAAATGCTGATGTGGCATCTGAATTCTGAAGTGGAATTTATAATTATTTTTCATATAAAAAAAGAAAATTACAAAATTACAAAAAAAAAACAGATATGATTTGTGGTTTATTTTTTGGGACACAATTAATCGTTCTCTTCCTCGATTAATCGTTCTCTTCTTCAATCCCAAGTTGGATTAACCCACCCCTTCAATCCCAAGCCAGATTCTGCGTTCAGATCCACCGCCGTCGGTAGCTATTCCTTCGGCGACAAGAAGCTCGATACTCTAGAGCGTCGACTGGAGGTAACTGGTGGTCAGATCTCCGTCTTCGCACAGGGAATCGGTGCTTCCATCAAGCTCAGATGTGGTTCGTCGAGGCATTGGAGGGATGCTTTTGGTCGGAGAAGGGTTGCGCCAATGGAAGTGACAACGTTTTCGCAGAATCCAAAGCCCAATCGTTCAGATGGAAGCTCGAAATGGAAAGCTTGATCTTGTGAAGGCAGGGGGATTGATTATTGGATTATTTTATCATATTAATTATTAATTCAACCAAATTTAGCCGCCCAACCTTCATCCCACGCCGGTCAGATTTCTCGATGGTGGATTCTGGGTGGACGGATTCCAAGAGACGGCGAGCAGAGGGCGAGGCTTTTCTTCCTCCTCTGCATCCGGCGACTTCTTCATAGGGCGTCACACAAGGATGGTTTCTTCATCAGGAGGTGGCGACGATTCAGTTCAGGAAGTCGGCGAGAAGGTTTGGCTAAATTCGCCGGAGTAGTGGAATCGAAGAGGGGAAAGAGATCCGGAGTGGCGGATTCAGAGAGGGGAAAGCCGAAAGAGGCTATCAATTATTTATTAATTATTTTTTTAAGCAATAAGGAAAAAGTGAGTTTTTAAAAAAAAATTTATTTAATTTTGAATTAAAAATGAGGTGTCAATGACGTGGCATCTACGTGGCTGCCACATTTTTGCCATGTCAACAAAAGTCAACATTAAGTTGACCATCGTTTGGTCAACCGTTATTTATAACGGTCAACAAAATTGTCAGGGCATAAGAGACACATAACTATTATATATTGTGACACAATTGTCATATCGGATACTTTAGAACACAAATGACACAAAGTTAATAGTTCGGGTTTCCCAATGGTATCAACCTTTATTTTTTCCAGCTTTACTAATGAACAATAGTTACCTTTGATTTAATTCTGCTAATATTATCACTACGAAAGGAATCAGATTAGAGAACCTGGAAGTTGGTCCCTTAATAAAACTTAGATTTTGGTCGCCACGACCTATTACCTACTGAAAACTTTGGGACACAATTTTGGTCATATCCTACGACCCATTTCATAAGGAATAAAGCTACTGCCCGAATTGCATTATAGTTCACCAAATTCAATGATCTCGCGGTCAAAACTGGAATGGTTCAAAATGCTTCTTAGTTTTTAGTCAACTTATGTGGATTGGTCCGCATCATATCGTTTCGGACCAAATCGATGGTTGGACCGGATAATACCAAACTAATTATAAAGTGATCGTGTTTTTGGTATCATGAATTTTACAAATATTGAAGTAAAAAACTGAATTGACATTTAGATTGGACCATACACAGTTATACACCATTGGTCCGATCTTTATTTTCAAAATGACTTTCACTATTGAACCGTACATAGTTGTTATGATTTTGAGTATGGTACGAATCAGACAGGATTATTGCACACCCTAATCGATATCATCACCAAAAGTAGGTGATCGATCGCGAATGCCTAAAAACAGCTATTATGTGGTTACTTAAAATGGGGTTTAAACCTGTAGGCCACGTACGTAAATCAGCCTGCTGGGCTCAGGAAGAGCTCGACGACAATTTAAAGAGGACCGGGAACGGAGGATACTTCCGATTTCACTTCCTCGCCGGGGAGGTGGAAGTCGATTGTCTCCAGACTCCAAGTGGCAACAACTACAAAGAGAAGGAACATCAATGATGAAATTGGGCCGGGTCAGTGCAGAAATTAAGAGCTTGGCCCAAGATGTATATCTCTTACGCGGGCTGGGCCACAAACACTACAGCTCATATTATGCTACATGATACAGGGGCTCAGTAATTTTTTCCCCCTCATCTCCTTCCACTACAACTAGAGACTATTATGGTGGGACGGGGATCCTCTGTCTTGTCTATGAAAGGCATTATTAGATGAAATACACTTTATATACTTCATAAAAAGGATAAATGGAAACTATAATCTTTCCGTCAATCAAGGAGTTTCTTTCCGTCAATCAATAGTCCCTTCTATCAAGGAGTTTCTTTCCGTCAATGCGAGCTCTTGGGAAAAATTAGCCTTTTAACCCTAGAGTGAGCGACCGCCCTTCTGCTAGGGTTAAAAGGCTAATTTTATCCCACCGCATGCGGCTGGGCGGGCAGCTTTAAACATGTTCTTCATCCCTTTGAAGCCATGATGACATAGAGGATAATACGTATTTATACTTCCTTTGAATGCATGCGATACATGTCAGGAAATGTCTTTGTACAGCGGCATGCATTATTAAGTTCGACCGACACAGATCTAACCCTAGATTTACATCAGGAAATGTCTTGGTGGATATACATATTTAAAATTATTTCCGATTTTAACGACTAGATCCAGCAAATAGTTGTTGAAAAATGAAATATCCAATAAATACTAACATAGTTTCATACCGCGAAGGACCCCAAAATAGAATTAATTTCTGGCGCTTTCTGCGGTGCAGTGACGGCTTTGATCCAATGGTAATATCAATCATTGGTCTAAAACTCGTAGATTCGAGATTCGAACCCCTTAAATAACGCCTAACTAAAAACTAACCTATACAAAGGGTAACGACAACTAGGGGTGAGCACGTGGGTGGTTAATCCGCGGATTGATATTGATCCACCCGCAAATAATCCGACCCACAACCAGTGGGTGATTGATGCGGGTGGATCTCGGATTGATAAATCTGCCACCCGCACTTATGTGGATGGGTGGTGGGTGGATTGCGGGTCACTCGAATGACCCGCATCCTATTTTCACATAAAAAAAATGATGTTTCTTATAGCATCGAATATTCATCATATTTCAAAACAGCACTACAATATGACTATATACTTCTAAAGGTGGAGAATAAAAAATAGTTTTAACTACTATTATTGGTTATTGTGTTGTGCAATATCAATTAGATATTGGATATTAGATATTGAAATGCAAATTATTGTTAACATCCATTAAATATTGGGTTGAAAACTAAAAATTATTAATTTTATCAAAATCACAAAATGCGTAAGTTTTCTCTATACAATTGGTTGATAGAGTGGTAAATTTTTTGATGCAAATACTACATGGTTCACTTGTGACATAGTGAGAAGTGTTTAAATTGATACAGTATTACTAATATACTATGAACTTATTATAAATGTTAGGAAACTTTCTTTAATAGTTAGTTGGAGAATTGCTTTTGCGGGTTAACCCATGACCCAACCACACTCATCCGCCACCCACCCAACCCGACCCACAGAAGAATGTGGTTGTATTGCGGATCACAATTATTCCAACTCTCTAGTAAGCGGGTGGGTCAATTTGAAACGAAAAACCCACCCAACCCGCCCATTACCCACCCTAATGACAACAACTGAGAAGAACTCCACCTGACAACTAACTTTCCCTCAAGCCAAACCAATTGGACTTAGGAGGATTTGCAAAACAAAATTGAACAAGGATGAAACCGTAGTCAAGTACAGAGTAAATAAAGGTCACTGTCAAAAGCATGAGATACATTAATAACAATTTTGGCCTTACTTTGTTGCGTTGACAGTTTTGAAAAAAAAAAAAAAGGTTAATGTCTGTTTGAATTAAACTATGTCTTTTGGTCTTTTATATTTTAGTACCCTAATAAGTTTGTCGAATTGTTGAGTTTGAAGTCCTTGCCAGCAACACTAGAGCCAAGTCCGCACCGCACAATTTCATAGAGAGAGAGAATTTAGGTTGTTTTGGTAGAGCAGAAAGTGTTGGCTGGAGTAAAAGGTCAGATAGTCCTACTGTGAGGTTTCATTCTATTACTATCGGCCGGCTAGCTAGCTAGTTGGCTGCCAGCCTTTTAGAACGTGCGTTCCGCATCAGTAGTTATGGCTAGTTGGTTACGTTGTCAGCTTTTTTACATCGATCTATTTTTGTGTCGCGGTTAGGTTGCTAGTCGATCGCCAGATTAGCTCTTTGTTAAAATATGACGCACCAAGTAATTAATCTGTCCTTCCTTGGCATACTATATATACATAAACCGTGCGGCGTAGTGCTATATATGCAAATCAGCAGCCCTAGATACATCTCTCCCATCAAATCAAATCAAATCAAATCAAATCAAATCAATAGCATGGATGACGACAAACAACTAGGCATGGATGATTGGTCCTTAGCTGCCACCACACAAATTGCACTACTACTCAAACTCAATCTCTTCCCGCCGGCTGCTAGGCTAATAATCCTCGCCCTTTTCCTGGTCATATCAACCACGACCCTCCTCCTCAAAAGGTCGGCAAAGTCGAAACAACGAGCTGGGCCTGGGCGGCGTCCACCCGGGCCCAGGAAGCTCCCCGTCATCGGGAATCTGCACCAGATGGTCGGGCCGTCTCTCCCGCACCGCCGCCTCGCGGACCTGGCCCAGGAATATGGCCCGCTGATGCTGATGGAGCTGGGCGAGATCTCCTGCCTCGTCGTGTCGTCGCCAGAATGGGCCAAACGGATCATGCAAACGCACGATGCCACCTTCGCCGACAGGTCCACGCTGCCTGCCGTCGATGTCATATTTTACGGCGGCCGGGACATCGTCTTCGCGCCTCACGGCGAGTTCTGGAGAGAGATGAAGAAGGTTTCTGTTGTGGAGCTGTTTGGCGCCGCGCGTGTCCGGTCATTCCGCCCGATTAGGGAACAAGAGACCGGTAAGCTCGTGGAATCCATCCGAGCACACACCATTGCTTCCTCTTCCGCTACCAGCACCCCAGGTACGTAATGCAGTTCGACCCGACCCCACCCGACCCGAGTATAATGCTTCACAACGTACGCAAGAGGTTTTGTGTTCAAGTCTCTGTATTTTTCGAAACAAGCTAATTAAGTATGCATGCAAGTGTTATCCGCCGTTCATGTGACTAGTAAATATTGACTTTACTTTCAAGTTCTGGTCTATTTTGTGGAGTTTCTGACTTACTTTCGTGTCATAAGGTGTTTTGAATACTTTTTATCTTTACTAATTATATTGCAGCTGTGAACGTGAGTCGAATGCTCATTTCCCTGGGGAACTGCATCACTTCACGCGCTGCGTTTGGGAAGACTGGTGACCAGAAACAAGTTGAAGCTGTCTTACCATATATAGAAGAGATCATTGAGACACTGGGAGTGTTCAGCCTTGTGGACGTGTTCCCTTCCAGCAAGTTGCTGCGTTTCATCACAAGGTTCGACACCAAACTGAAGAAGCTTCACGCTGCAGCAGATGCCATCATGGAAACTATAATCAGCGACCATGTTGCAAAAAGATCGTCAGCAAAACATGACGACGACGATGATGAAGATCTGGTTGATGCGCTCTTGAATCTCAAGGACAATAACGATCTCGGATTCCCTTTCACCAACGTTGAGATTAAAGCTGTGATCTTGGTGAGTTCCTCTTTTAACCTTAGACACACATGCTATATATGGTACGCTAGTCATTCGTGAAAAATGTTGTTTCTATGTGATCGAATGGTGAGATGTCTCACTCCCATTAACTTAGCTTTTGCATGTGAATTGTGAGAAGTCTCACCGTATTTGTGTGCTTTATAAAAAAAAAAAAAAAATACAGGACATGTTTATTGCTGGAATGGCAACGTGGGCCGTCTTGACGGAATGGGCAATGTCAGAACTCATGAAGAACCCAAAAATCATGGAGAAAGCACAAAAAGAGGTGCGGCAAGTCTTTGATAAAAAAGGACAAGTAGTAAACGAGGCGTTGCTCGATGAACTGCACTATCTCCAATTAGTTATAAAAGAAACTCTGAGATTACATCCTCCCGGTCCTTTCACGATTCCAAGGAAATGTCGTAAAACCACAGTCATTGATGGATATGAAATACCAGTTGGCACGAGAGTCTTCATCAACATATCAGCTCTTGGTCGAGATCCCAACCACTGGACTGAACCCGAAACATTTAACCCAGAAAGGTTCCTCAATAACCCCATCAATTACAATGGACTAGATTTCAATTTTGTCCCATTCGGATCGGGTCGAAGAATGTGCCCAGCCATTCAATACGCAACCACTATTGTCAGTTTTGTACTGGCGAATTTACTTTATCATTTTGACTGGAAGCTCCCAAACGGAATGCGGCCTGAAGATATTGACTTGAAGGAAAAATCTGGACTGGAAGTGAGAAGGAAAAACAATCTATTGCTCATTCCCATTCCGTATTACCCTAATTAAGTAGCTTATTATGCCGTTGAAGTTTTTGATCTTTGGTTTGCTAGTTTTGTTGGCTTTTCAGTTTTCACGCTTTTTTTTGGAATATGTCTTCCGTCTCTTTAATTATTTCATGTCTAAGAATCGTTCGCCATCTTTGTATCGTGTCGATCCTTTATTTTCAATAAAATTCTGATCCATTAAAAATCTTGCTGTTTAGTTTTTGTTCTAACAAATAATTCCTAACACTATAGAACAACAAATTAAATGTAGCTAGACAAACCATAATCAAGCCTTCTCGCCAAGAAATTAAATGAATCGATTAATTACCACAAGCATCGACAATAGATTAAATATGATATTTATTCATCACTTCAAAATAATTACACATTATGCAAATACGGTTTGTTTAAGCAATTTTTTTTATAAGGGAGAAAATTATATTAGAATATAAAAAAATGAACGGTACATAAGCGGAATACGCCTCTTATGATAAGACGTGTTCTTCAGTGTAAGCAAATAAGAGAGAGCAAGAAATCAAACACAGGAATTGCAAACAAACAGAAAGAACAGAAAACAGTGTGATGTATAGAATGCTAGCGTTTTGGTGCCATACAACTCATGCCATTGTTTTTGTTTTTTTGCCAAAGATCAACCACAAAAAGATAGATTTTGTACTTTCTAAAGTTGGATATACCAATTAAATATTATGATTTATCAAAGTATAACGGATTACATTCAACGACCATTTAAGTTGAAATACAGCATAGTTTTAGAGCATATATACCACTGGTTAATATAAGTAGAACTTGAGATATTGAGTTTTATCCTAATCCAAACTAAGCTGATAATGCCCAAAACCCTAGCTACCTGAATCATCACTTTAATTCTGATTCTTCCCACTAGGCACTAGTTGACATAATGATCGGGCAGAGGTATTCGATCTGCTAGACGTGCTTTTGAAAGGCAAACTACATATAATATAAGCACACGCAAAACTAATTAACTAATTGTTTCCGTGAACGTCCGTGACACACAAGATGTCCGCGCATGCATCTCTAGAAAACAATCTTAAGCACTTGGAATATATAAAAAAGAAGGGGGGAACTTTGACAGCTTGGTCTTCTCCGCTAAATTCGGAATTCAAAGATCAATGATGATTTGTAAATAAAACTAAATTTTCTAGATTTTCAGAAGATTTTAAGGCTTGAACCTCAAACGAAAGTAAATAATATGATTTTGAAATTTACCTATGCATCGGACAAATGATTGTTGTACCTATTAATGACGTATATCTGTATCAAATTTCACTAACTATATATGATAGTACCGGCTGATGGATATATATTATAGTTTCTGCTCCAGTTTTCTTGATCAAATAACAGTTTTCTTGATCAAATAACATTAAGCCTTGCTATGAAATTCATATCCCAAATTGAATATAGTAACTGGATATATGTGTAGTTATAACTGAAACTAAATCACCGGTCGATGATGTTTTGCTCTTTAGCATTTTTAAACTGCCCACTTAGTGGTAAATTATGCTCTAATCGATAATTTGATTACATATGAACTATTGCTTGTGATTCTTATCAATCTTATTATTATGTTGCTCGACCATACTCTCGATCGGGCCTTGCTTCTCTGTCGTGGATAACCATGCCGATGCAACGCATACACTTTCATTAGAGTCTGATGCTTCTCTCTGCCTTTGTTGTGTAAAAAATATTTTTACCCATCGCATGCGATTGAGCAGCTTTACACATGTTCTTCCTCCATTTGAACCCATGACCCATGATGACATAGAGGATAATATCTTCTTTTGAATGCATGCGTAGCGTACATATCAGGAAGTGTCTCGGTGGAATGCATTATTAATTTCGACTGACAGAGATCTAACCCTAGATATGTATACGTACAGATTACAGACCACATAATTAAAATCGTCTTTGGCTCAACAGCCTTGGACTGCCTGGAGCTATGTCCCAAGGACTTCAAGAGCCTACGAATCCGAGACCTCCTCGTCGAAGCAGGCGGTAAACGAGCCAAGGAGATGATGACTACTGCTAGCACCGATCGTCTTCCACCACAAAAACAAAACCCTTCAGTATTGCAAGTATCCACATCATCAGCAGCCAACAAGTCGTGCTGCTGCAAGCCAATGAAGTCGATGGGGCGACGGTTCAAGAAGTTCCTCGACTACGACACCAAGTGGATCGACGAAATGAAAGGATCGCTCCTCGTAGTGGCCGCCCTCATAGCGCAGATGAGCTTCCATGCCGCAACCAACCCGCCAGGCGGCGTGTGGCAAGAGAACGTCTCCAACTCCACCGAGGGCTTCGGCTGCGAGGACACGAACAGCACCCTGTGCATGGCCGGGACGTCGGTCCACGCTTACAGAGACCCGGAAGTGCTCTACATCTTCATGGGGCTCAACACGACGGCGTTTGGCGCGTCCCTGTGCGTCATGCTTCTCATCATCGGCGGGTTCCCTCTCAGGAAGAGGTTCTTCGTCTGGCTGCTGGCGCAAGCGATTTGCTGGGCCATGGGCTGCATGACGGCTGCTTTTGCGTTTGGCGCGCTGTTGGTGACGCCCACTAAGGACGACGCGCGAGTTCGAGTCGGGTGGGTGATGTTGAAACTTCTGGGCGCCTGGTTGGTGCTGACTCTGGTGATTAGCCTGCTCGACACGTTTCGGTTTCTCATCTGGTTTGGGAGAAAGTCGTGGAAGGTCGGACGAAGAGCAGTGGCCTGTTGTTGTTGTGTTTGTGCAAGGCCCGGTGGTGATCATGTTGTCTAAAAGCAGGTGCAGACTCAGTTGGATGCAGGTCGATGCCTATTGTTATGTTCAGCGTGTTTTCTATATTTATTATGAAGAATAGAATTCGGTGTTTGAATTTAAATGTGTTTATGTTTGTGTTGTCCTTTTTTTTAATGTAATTTTTACTTTTTTGTCCTTGACGAATGTAAAGGTGATATCATTCGAAGGAGTGTCCGCTAGCTGTTTGTTAATTAAAATGTATTTCAATGATACCAATAAGTTTTTGACGTTAGTTATATAAACTGCTCAAATTTGTTAGTATATAGAATAGATAGGACCAAATTGTAATATTTGTTTACTTTGTGTATTGTTTTGTAATAGAGTAGAATAAGACTAATATATAAATGTAATATTGAACAATGTAAATTTTACTTTGGTGAAATAAAATTGGATCCGTTTCTCTCTTATAACATGGTATCAGAGCACTTTCTCTGACTTCTTTCTTTCTTTCTTTCGCTTCCGCTTCCCATCTAGGGTTTCGTCTTCGCGACGATGGCTTCTTCGTCTTCGTTCCAGCCTCCGATTCCTCTCGCAGCGGCGCTTGCGCCGAATCACCCCTACTACATCAGCTCCGGTGATTCCTCGACGACGCAGCTCGTGTCAATCGTGCTCACCGGGCCGAACTACCACTCCTGGGCGAGATCGATGCGCTTCGGTCTTCTGTCGAAGAACAAGCTCGCCTTCATCGATCCAGCCGTTCCGACGCCGCCACCGGGCGATCCTCTCTACACCGCCTGGCAACAGTGCGATACGATGGTGCTCGACTGGATTCTTCGCTCTCTGGCTCCAGATATCGGTCAGAGCGTCCTCTGGCTCGATTCCGCAGTCGAAGTTTGGAGAGATCTGAGCGAGCGCTTCAGCATCGCAGATCTTGTTCGCATCGCTGACCTTCAAGACGAGGTGTTCGCACTCAAGCAGGGTAACATGTCTGTAAGTGAGTTCTTCACTAAGCTTAGGGTTCTTTGGGATGAGTTGATGACCTATCGGCCGATTAAGTCCTGTGCTTGTGTCCCTAAGTGTTCTTGTGCTGAGTATGCGAGGTCTGACCAGATTATTAGGTTCTTGAGGGGTCTTGGTGATGATTTTGAGTCTGTACTTCCTCGATCTTGTTGATGGATCCTCTTCCTCCAGTCAACAAGGTTTTCTCTACTGTTGTACAGTTTGAGCGTCAGAACAGAGTGATTACTTCTGCTAGTGTCAATCCTTTGGCTTGTGCTGTTCAGAACAGTCAGTTTAAGAGTCAGTCTAAACGTCCTGTTTGCACTTTCTGTGGATTGACTGGTCACACTGTTGACAAATGCTTTAAGAAGCATGGTTATCCTCCTGGTTACAAAGGGAAAGCTAGGGTTAATGTTGTAGTTAGTGAGTCTAAAGCTACTGATGTATCTGTTTCTCTTGAGAACGGAGTTCAGAACTCCGATTCAGTTGTACTTACACAGCAGCAGTACCGAGCTCTTGTTGCTCAGCAGTTTTCCTCGAGTCAGTCTTCTGCACCTGTTGCACATGTCCCAGTGGCCAATGCATTTACAACAACTGGAGGTGCTTCTGATTCTTCTGCACCTTCCTCCTCTGGAGGTAAGTATGTTTTTGCTAATGGTCATTTGCCTCAAACTGAGGTCTCTTGGGTCATAGACAGTGGGGCATCGGATCATGTCATTTCCAGCTTAGATTACTTTAGTCATTATTCTGCTGTCAATGATGTGAATGTTTCTCTTCCTAATGGTGCCAAAGTGCGAGTTACTCACATTGGTTCTGTTTGCTTGACTGATGTGTTAGTACTTAGGAATGTGCTATATATTCCATTGTTTGGCTTCAATTTGATCTCTGTCAGTAGGTTAACCAAAGACACAGCATGTTCTTTGACATTTTTTCACGATCACTGCATTATCCAGGATCTGGTCTCCCGCAAGCTGATTGGTACAGCTAGAGAGTCTGGTGGGCTTTATTGCTTCACACCTACCTTCAGCAACTCTCTTCCTGCCCCAATCGCTGCTTCCTCACCAGATTCCAGTTGTTTTTCTGTTGTCTTTGATACTACTATTCATGACATTGACATTAGCCACTATAGACTTGGACATGCTTCTTGTACTCCTTCGAACATTGTTATGTCTAAAGATTCTAATGTTGTTTCTCATAGATCTAAGCATTGCACTGTTTGTCCCATGGCTAAACAGAAACGTTTGCCATTCATGGTAAGTGAGTCTCATTCCCTTGCTTTGTTTGACTTGGTTCATATTGACATATGGGGTCCATATGGTGTTACTTCCATTGATGGTTATCGGTATTTCTTGACCATTGTAGATGATTACTCTCGCAATACTTGGGTTTACTTGATGCATAAGAAATCTGAAGCTCGTGACTTGCTGATTTTCTTTATTAATCATGTTCAAACTCAGTATAATCTTAAGCCTAAAGTAATTCGTTCTGATAATGGACTTGAGTTTCACATGCCTGCATTTTATAGTTCTTTAGGCATCATTCATCAAACCACATGTGTTGCTTCTTCACAACAAAACGGTCGGGTGGAGCGTAAGCAGCAGCATATCATTGCTGTTGCTCGTGCTCTGTTATTCCAGTCTTTCCTTTCTTCTAAGTTTTGGAGTCATGCTGTCTTACATGCCACTTTCTTAATTAATAGACTCCCTACTCCTGTGTTAGATAACAAGTCTCCTTATGAATTGTTACACCATTCTGTTCCTGATTATTCCACCTTTCGTGTTTTTGGTTGTTTAGTTTACATGTCTACCTTAGCACATAATCGTCCTAAATTTGACCCTAGAGCCCATCCTTGTGTGTTTCTAGGATTTCCCTTTGCTACTAAGGGTTGTAAACTCTACAATCTAGTTACCGAGTCACTGTGTGAGTCTCGTGATGTGGTTTTTCATGAAAAGATATTTCCTTTCTTTTCCAATGCTTTTTCTCATGCTTCGTCTGATTTTGTTTTTCCTGTTATTTCTGTCTCCTCAATGGATACCATTGCATCTCATGATGTTAGTGGTAATCCAGAGACATCTACCGGTTCGGCACCCGACCAACATATCTCCCCTATCCCCTCTCCTTCTTCTGATTCTTCAAATGATGATGATGGTGCTGCTCCTCCTCAGAACCTCGTCCTGCACGAAAGAGACAACAGCCTCTTAAATTTCGTGATTACATTTGCAACTCAGTGGTTGATTCACGAGTTTCCTATCCATTATCTTCTGTTTTATCCACTAATAAGCTTGCTGACCACCATTCCAAGTTTGCTCTAGCTGTTTCTACAGTTTTTTGTCCAAAGACTTACAAAGAAGCATCCCAACACGACAAATGGAATGCAGCTATGGATCTGGAAATCGATGCTTTACTACGCACCAACACGTTTACAGTAGTACCAAAACCACCAGACGTCAAACCCATTGGTAATAAATGGGTTTACAAGGTAAAATTCCACTCCAATGGTACAGTTGAGCGAGAAAAAGCTCGACTTGTCGCCAAAGGGTACACTCAAACACCGGGCATAGATTACTTAGACACTTTTTCCCCTGTTGCTAAGCTCACTACTGTCCGGTCTTTACTTGCACTTGCTTCCATTAAAGGTTGGCATTTACATCAACTTGATGTAAATAATGCCTTCCTTCATGGAGATTTAGTTGAGGATGTTTATATGAAACTTCCTTTAGGTTTCAAAGTTGATGGTGACACTTCTAATCTTGTTTGCAAATTAAATAAATCTCTTTACGGTTTAAAACAAGCTAGTAGACAATGGAATCATAAGCTAACTGAGTTTTTGTTACAAGCTGGTTATATTCAATCCAAAGCTGATTATTCACTGTTTACTAAACGTCAGGATGGTAAGTTCCTTGCTGTTTTGGTATATGTTGACGATATTATAATGGCAGGTGATTTTCTTAGTGAAATTGAGTCTCTAAAACAAAAACTTGATGATGCTTTTAAAATTAAAGACCTAGGCAATCTTAAGTACTTCCTAGGACTTGAAATAGCTAGAAATGAAACAGGCATCTCTGTTTGTCAACGTAAATATGTGCTAGACCTGTTGAAAGATTCTGGTCTGCTTGGTTCTAAGCCTGTTGCTACCCCTTGTAATCCTGGTGTTCGTCTCTCCATTAAATCTGGTGTTCTTTTGGATGATCCTGCTATTTATAGACGTTTAGTTGGCCGTTTATTGTATCTGTGCAATACCAGGCCTGATATTGCGTTTGCTGTCCATCAACTAACTCAGTTTATGAGTGCGCCAACTGATGTTCACTTGGCAGCAGCTCATAGAGTACTTCATTACTTGAAAGGCTCTCCTGGCCGTGGTTTATTTTTCTCTTCAAAGACTGATCTATCTCTTAAAGCTTTCTCTGACAGTGACTGGGCAGGTTGTCCTGATTCCAGGAGGTCCACGACTGGTTTTTGTGTTTTCTTAGGCAGCTCTTTAATTTCATGGAGGTCCAAGAAGCAGCAAACCATTTCCCGTTCATCAACCGAGGCTGAGTATCGGGCCATGGCTGATTTAACTTGTGAAATTCAGTGGTTACATTATTTGTTTGCTGATTTAGGCCTGTTTTTTTGATAAACCTACTGCTATGTTTTCTGATAGTCAGTCTGCTATTAGGATTGCTGAGAATCCTGTTGCTCATGAGCGCACTAAGCACATTGAGCTAGATTGTCATTTAACCCGCGATAAGCTTGCATCTGGCCTCATTAAACTGTTACATGTTTCTACTATTAATCAGATTGCTGACTTGTTCACGAAATCGTTGCCTACTGCTGTGTTTTCAGGTCTTGTGTGCAAGCTGGGCACTCTTGACATCCATGCTCCAGCTTGAGGGAGGGTGTTAGTATATAGAATAGATAGGACCAAATTGTAATATTTGTTTACTTTGTGTATTGTTTTGTAATAGAGTAGAATAAGACTAATATATAAATGTAATATTGAACAATGTAAATTTTACTTTGGTGAAATAAAATTGGATCCGTTTCTCTCTCATAACAAA